CATCGGATTGTTACGTTAGTATCTAGCACACTTTTAGGATTCTTCTCTCATCGGATTGTTAAGTTAGTGTCTTGCGTACTTTTAGGATTCTTCTCTCGTCGGATTGTTACGTTAGTATCTCGCGCACTTTTAGGATTCCTTTCCATCAGATTGTTACGTTACTATCCCGCGCACTCATAAAATTCTCTTTCATCGGATTGTTTGATTAGTATCTCGCGTACTTTTAGGATTCTCTCTCATCGGATTGTTATGTAAGTATCTCGAACACATTTAGGTTTCTCTTTAATTGAATTGTTACGTTAATAACTCGCGCACATTTAGAATTTTCTTACTTTAGATTTCAACGTTAGTAACTTGAGCACTTTAAGGATTCTCTCTCATCGGATTGATTCGATAGTATCGGATTTATACGATAGTAACTAGTGCACATTTAGGATTTTCTCTCATAGGATTGATACGGTAGTAACTCGCGCACTTTTAGGACTCTCTTTTATTGGATTGTTATGCTAGTAACTCGCGCACATTTAGGTTTCTCTTACATCGGATTTTAACGTCAGCAACTTGCGCACTTTAAGGACTTTCTTTCATCGGATTATTGTACTAGTAACTTGCGCACACTAAGAGTTCTCTCACATCGGATTTTAACGTTCGTATATAGAGGTTTCCCGCATGACGTCACGTTTCCATAGACACGCATTGACGGCCATCTTGAAGGTCAACCTCTCGCGGAAAACATAAGACGAACTGAACGGCTGAGGTAAAGATGGTCAATATTTGCTGTTGTCGGTTGTTCCAACCGCTCAAATCGCAACAAGAAGGGATATTATTGTTTCCCAAGTGTTATCGTCCATCAAGGAGAAAAAGCGCTCGATCTTTCGTCGCGCATGTTTAGGATTCTCTCTCATTGGATTGATACGATAGTAACTCGCGCACTCAAATGATTCTCTTTCATTGGATTGTTTCATTAGTAATTCCCGCACTTTTGGGATTCTCTCTCATCGAATTGTTATGCAAGTATCTCGTACACATTTAGGTTTCTCTTTAATTGGATTGTCACATTAATAACTCGCGCACATTTAGGATTCTCTTACATCAGATTTTAACGTTACTAGCTTGCGCACTGTAAGGATTTTCTTGGATCGGATTGATACGAGAGTAATTCGCGTACATTTAGGCTTCTCTTTCATCGGATTTTAATGTGAGTAACTTGCGGACTTAGAGGATTTTCATGCATCACATTGTTACGATAGTAGCTCGCACACATTTAGGATTCTCTTACATCGGATTGTTACGTTAGTATCTTGCGCACTTTTAGGATTCCTTTTCATCGACAA